GAGGTAGTGGAACTGGGTCCCCACGGAGTGGCAGCCCACAATGGCCTGCGTGCTGCTCTGGCCTGGCCATGTGCCCTGCAGGGAGGAGCACGGCCCAGTGTCCTGACTCCTCTCTTGGCGTGCCCACCGCGGTGTGGCCCTGGCCTCCCCACAGATGTTTACGGCAGGATCATGCACAGAAAACAGACGCCGTCGGGGCCGGGGTTGTGCACACAGCAGCCGCGCTGGCCGGATCGCAAGGCGGCACCGTCCCTGTCACGTGTGGTTTATGGTGACACGAAGCCACTGAATGGGGCTGTTATGAATGGGAAAGCGGTTATGCAAGAAGCCTCTCCCACCGCAGGGCAGACGCCTCTGCCCTGCCCTCCCCATCCACATTCAAACACTGCTCTTCATTTTAATGGCACTGAAGGCCGAACTGTAGGTTTTAAATGGACCTTGTTTGTTTCTTACTACAGAAGGAACAGCTGCCTGAAAAAGCAAAATAAAAATTAAAATAAAAACCACCTTTAACTCCATGATCAAGTCCCCCATAAATAACTCAGCTCCTGCCGCCCCAGGGTCCTGCTCACCCGCCCTCGCATGCTCTTACAATCTGACTTTCCGTGACGCAAACGTCCCTGCGCTACGTGCTCCGCAGCCCCGGGGCCGGTGAGGACCTTCCTGCAGCCGTTCACACGGCAAGTGCACTGCGCGGTGGAGCCGGTCCCGGGGTGGTGCAGCATGCTCCCCCTGTGTCTCATCCAGCCTGGAAGTAATTGGCCTTTATCCCGCCCAGCACATCCTAATGAACCATTTTTTCCTCCATGGCTTTGTGTGTCTGTTCCTTAGTTTTGTCCTGTTACTCCTAATTATGCTCCGCAAATAACCCTAAAAATTCCAGGCGTCCTTTGTGTGCATACTTAGGCAACGTGCGGCTTTGTTCCAATTGTTCCTCGAAAGGTGCAGAGAGCTTTTCTTGAGCCTTTGTAGTCTTGGTCTTTCTTTTAGCAGAATTGGAGAATGACAGGTCTTTTCTCTCAGAGTGATCCTGCTCTCTGTAATTTTCCCCCATCAGATGCAGAGTTGGGAAATGAGACATTTGCATTATTGTGTGTATGGATGAATTTCTGCCCCCAGAATCTTATTCAACTTATTTTGCAAATTGTGCTATAAAGCAGTCTAAAATACTTCAAGGGCGATGCAGAAGCCTCCCAGGGCTGGGCTCAGCATGCAGCGAAGGCAGGAGGTCATGCAGAAAGTGATGACTGTGGTACCCAATGTGGATGCATGTCTCTGTTTGCTTAATCTGTATGCCTGTGCCCTGAGGATTTGCGTGGAAGGTGTGTGGCTTCCCAGTCCAAGCCGGCTCTGTGCTCTGCTGCAGGGCCTCAGCTCTGGTACTGCGGGTGGTATGGGCTCAGTGGCCCGGGGCTCTTGCACCCTGAACGTTGGCTCTGGAGGCTGCTCCAGGCCATCCGAGTTGACCTCTCCTATGTTCCTGGTGGAACCTGGGTCAGGTCCCCTTCATCTTGCCTTGCTTGACGTCTTGCCTGGTGTGCTCTGTGGATGTTTTACACAGTGTGGCCCAAGCTTCCCATGTCCGTTTAGCAGCAGAGCGTTTACATGGGGAGGATTGTGGGAGGCCACCCTCATCTTCTGGAAGCCTCACTCGCTCTGACTCAGCGGGAGGAGAGAGGGCATCTCCTGGGTGAGTGGGCAGGAGCCACCTGGTGTGCTGTGGCCCTGGGACCTGGCACAGTGGGACGGCCCTGAAGGTCTGGCCTCATGGCAACAGTGTCTGGGAGGAGAGCATCCAAGGTCGTGACTTGCAGCTGGCGTGAGCTTCGGGAAGCTTTGAAGGCCTAGGACCTGGCTGGGCAGTGTGGGGGTTCAGCAGGCCTCACAGGACCCACCCACATCGACCCCACTTCACGGCTCATAAGACAGAGTCATCGCACTTAGGGGCCCATCCAGTATCCCGGCTGTGAGTGGCAGAGCAGGGGCTCAGACCGGACAGTGTGGCCGCAGAGTCCTCACCCTGAGCTACTGTGTCACACTAGTGCTTTGTGCACATCCTGGACCTGTCCAGGGCCCATCCTCTCTCACAGTAATGGATTTCATTGTCTGTTAGGGGATTATTTCTTGAGATGCCAGGAGTAGAGTGCTTATAACCGTGGACAGCGATGGCTGTGGTGTCTGCCTGCACACCCCGCTTCCATATTGTCTACCGTCTCTTCTCTGGGAGCTTGACATGATTTGCATGTATTTTCCTCTCAACACATCAGAGAGGCCACCCAGCCAAGAGGCCAAGCCAGGTGCCCCAGGCTGAGCAAGCCTCTCCAGAGGCACAGGCCCAAGGTCTAGGCAGCCGGGTCAGACTGAAGAGAGTGTCCCTCGCCTTCTGGAACTGTTTGTCTTCACACGCACGGGCCTCTCCCTCAGCACTGAGAAGACACTGAGGTGCACAGTGGCCGCGGACGTGCTCGGCTCCCTGCAGTGACCCCTGCATGAGCCAGGTGTGCAGTGTCACTGGAAAAGCCCCCGTCCCCATGCCCTCCTGGAGCTGGGCTACCCGCCTGGCCCACTGCAGGAGCTGTGAGGTCCGTGCTGTGGCGCCTCAGGCCTGTGAGGACCACAGGGGAAAGCATGGCCTGCAGGCACTTGGTTGTGCCCACACCCACAGCTGAGTTTGCATCTCACGTCAGGGGGGACTCACAGCTGGAGCCCTCGGGAGGCCACTGTCACACCCTGCTTGGCCCGGCACCGTCTTTGTACAGGTAAACAGACACACAGAGAGGGTGGGCAGCTGGCCCAGGCCACACAGCCAGTGCATGCCAGTGCTAGAGTTCAGAGGCAGATGTGCAGGCTCCAGGCTTCTCATCATTGTGGGTGACCTAGGCGTCCAGTCTCGGGTAGCTTTGTGGAGGTGCCACACACCCCCTGGAGGCCACAGCATGTGGCCATCTTGTCTACCATTCAAGGCTGCCGAGCCCATGGAGTAGAGAGCAGGACCTCAGCCCAGCTGGAGCCCTACCTTCCCAGAGGGGCTTCCTAGGTCTGTTACCCCAGTCAGTCCAGGACCTGCGCCTCAGCCAGTGCCCCTCAGCCTGTGGGGGCAGGGTCCCACATGGGCACAGCTCCCCAGGGTCTCCTCCTGGGGTACCTCAGCCAGGCTACACAGCTTCTCCCCCACCAGCACTATCTGGGGCTCTTTGCTCCTGTAGGCCTTTTCTGGGTCTTGCCCTCAGCTTCCCCTTTCCCTTGTAAAACCAATAAAAACCCACATGGGTGGTGGCTAAAGCATGCCTTGTACAGGGACAAATCTGCCAAAATGAAGCCCCTGACCTGTACCACCACTGTGTGCTCTAAAAAGCATGCAGAACATAAAGGCTGCTGGAGAAACCAGTCTGTCCTCACGGAACAGTGCCAGCTGTGCCTCCCAGGGGTCCAGAGCCCCTCCATGCTGTGCCACCCCAGGACCACGGTCCCATGCAAAACAGAGGATAACCACCAGCAGTCTGGGCACTCATGTCCTGATGCCTTTGGGATGACTTTGAGTCTGCGCAGCCCTCAGTTTTCATTCTGGCTTAGTTTTCATTCTCTTGGTTTTTGTTGCAGACCCCATGCAGGGTCACTGGCTAGAATCTGGGGGTTTTCATTGTAAGCAGGCACCGTAGCAAACATCGTACACTTCTGTTCTTCACAGCCGTACCGATATCTAGCTCCAGGGTGAAAAGACCAGGCTTAGAGGCCCTCATGTCTTGCCAAGTTCACATGAAGCATTTGTGGTAAGCAGATGCAGACCCTAGGCCAAGGCCTCCCTCCCCACTGGGTTTCACGTGCTGGGCTGTGGTGTGATCACAGATGGACACACCGCTGCTCCCACTTTCACCCTCGGTGCAGGGTCCCAGACCTCTCACCTCCTCCCTCCTACTTCCAGGAAGACTCCCTCAGCCCTCCTCTTGGGCAGTGGCTGGCTCTGTGCCGCGGCTGGACTTGCATGCAACCACGGAGGTTGGGCAGCCCCGTGTCCCTATGTCCTGACCCCGTCCGGCCATTCCATGGTGCAGGTGGGAGGCAAGTGAGACTGCGTGCACTCAGGGTGGGTACAGCATCACCTTCCTCACAGAATTCTCTGATGGCCTTTCATTTGCTTTGCATTTGGACATTAACATCAGCATAGAGGTTTTAAAAATAAATTCCTTGTCAAAAGGCTGTCACCACCCAACAAGCACTGGAAAACCTGCGGGGGGAAGGAAGCAGAGGTGCAGCCATGGCTTGCGCTCTTCTTTCTGTTCCCTCTGTCCTCACGCAGCCTTTTCTCTTAAGGTCACTGTCCTTGTCTCCTCGGTGCCTGTGATGGTCCTTGCCACTGGAGCCAGGGCTGGGGCCAGGGCAGGGCTGTGCCTGTTGGACCCCCAGGGCCGAGGACTGGGCTGTCTCACCAGGGCGAGCTGTGCCTGCTCTCTGTGGTGGGTCGTTCTGGAACCTTTGAGTGCTGCTTCCTTGGCCAAGAGGCAGCAGCGGCCAGGCAGACCCCAAGGACACAGTCAGTGACGGCAGGTACAGCGCTGCCAGGCCCCAGGTCCTCACAGGCTGCGCTCAGGTGGGAAGCTGTTTGGGGAACGAGGTTCTGTGTTCACCCCATGTGGAAACCACCTCACCCCATGGTTGATGTTCTCCTGAGCAGGGGTTCTGCCCACGCTGTGTAGGAGGCTGAGTCTGCAGGTGTGTGCACACGTGTGTGTCCACACCTGTGGGTGTATGCACACAGGCATTTGTGCTCAGAGCCAGCCTACCCTCTGTGGCCTGTGGCCTCGGGGATGAGTCCTCCTCATCTCTGCATGAGGTTGGGAACACCTGCGATGTGGTGCCCAGGACCTACTGGGTCGAGATGACCCGGGCCGCTCGCTGGCCTTCGGCCCATGTGAACTGTGGTTCTAGTGGGGTGCAAAAGGGCCAGGCTTCGGCCCAAGAACCCTGAGGCTGCCCGCCCAATGCCTGTCACTATCTTGCAGGAGCTGTGCCGCCAGCGCATGGCCGCGCGCCCGCCGGATCGGCCCGAAGACCCTCATGCCTCCCGCATCAGCAGCGTCTCCTCGCAGTTCAGCGACGGCCCCATGCCCAGCCCCTCGGCACGGAGCAGCACCTCGTCCTGGTCTGAGGAGCCCGTGCAGTCCAACATGGACATCTCCACTGGCCACATGATCCTGGTAAGGCCATACCTTGCGGCAGATGGAACAACCCTGTCACAACTGACCCCTGTCCTCTGCCGTCCTGCTTCCCTGGGCAGCAGCATCCCCCTTGAGATCCTGCAGCCACTGTGCCCACAGCTGCCCCATGACTCCGGGCAAAGGCGTTTCTGCCTGGCGCACATGGGCCGTGTCGGGTGCTTGCCACTGCCTCGCTCTCAGCAGTGGGACAGATGGTGATGAGCACCGACTGTATACGCCACTCCTGGAGCCCTGGCTGAGGAATGGCAGGCGCTTCCTTCACCCTCAGTTCCCAGCCCCCTGGCTCCACTGGGTAAATAAGTGTCACCAGTGTGCACGGCATTAAGGCGAACCTGGGAGACCCCAGGAGCCTTTGTGGGGCCTCTTCCCCTGGACACCCCCCGCTGCAGCTGTCCACAGTGACCGCACAGGCTGGCTGGGCGGTGGTGCTTACGGCATAGTGAATGTGCAGGTTTTCTTAGAGATGTTCATAATTCCGCCCTCCGCCGCGCTGTCCCCCGGTCTCACACCGCAGGCGCTTTCCCTCATAGGGAGCATGAAAACCAGAACGCCAAGCTGGCACGGTGACTTTCTCACCGGAGTTGCACCCTCCGTGGGCAAAGCTAAGCCCACTTCCTCTCCCAGCTGCAGCAGCTGCTGTGAGCGGGGCCTCGAGGTGCCCACGTTGTAAAGTGAGGCCAGGGCCACCTGCAGGTGTTAGTTCACGGCACAAGTTTTGGGGAACCGTCCTCACCTGATTTCCTAATAATGGTATGGACTGCTGCAATTGGACCTCGAGAAGCCAGAAAAGTGCATTCTTTACTAAAAAGCCTTGAGGGAGAGCTGGGAGGCGAAGTCCAGAGGCTGCCAGCGAAGCCCAGCTTCATTAGCTGAATCATCCGTGGATGTTCGGGACTAGAGCCTTCGGATGGTGCAGTCGAGGAGACTGAGGCACGTGGCCAATGGCTCCCAGACAACACAAGACAAAGTGAAGGGGTAGAGAAGCCTGACTTCTGGTCAGCGTCCCGCAGCGCCTGTTCTTGCCCTGTGATCTTCACATCCCCATCAGACCCTGCAGTGGACCCCAAGGCCTCCGTGTTCACGTGGCCAGCCTGTGTCACCTCCCACTCTGCCCGTGGTTGCTGCTGTCCACAGAGCTGCTTCTCTTCATGAACACCAGTCACGTGACCTGGGTGGGACTTTTCAGAGGTCATGAGGTTTGTTGCTTTCAGAACAGCAGCCAAGACTGGAAGCTGGGGCTCAGCGGGGAATCCGTGCGACAGCCGACCCTGCCGGTGAGCCCCTGCTGCCAGCTGCTGCGGGGATCGTCATATCCAGGACACCGGGCAGGGCCTGGTGGCATCTCAAGGGCACATGGAGCATGAGAACACTGCGCTTTTCACGTACATGGCTCTGATGGTGACGTGTATGACGGTGACCTGAGCACAGCAAATCGGTCAACTTTCACCTGAAATACCTAAGCCATGAGGAAGACTTCTCAGCTGGCCTGCTACGAGGTATGCTGTGGGAGCTCAGTGCCACGAGGCCGGCACGAGCACCTGTGCAGATGTGCCACCCCAACCGTCGGTGTCAATGCAGGAGCTCTGTCGGCGCCGGGGACCCTGCTTGTGCAGATTGTAAACTCGAGGAGGCCTTCTTCTTGCCACCGGTGCTGTGTGTGAAAGGGACACAACCAGGCACATTTCTGTTACTGCAGGACACAGGCTGACGTGCAGAGAGGCAGGGAGTATGGACACCACCACAGCCCAGGAGAGCCAGGCAGTCCCTGGGACTCTTTTCCCTTCGGGAACAAGTCCTGGCTTTCCTTGGCCTAACTTCCAGGTGGACTCAGGCCGCATGGAGTCACATCAGGTCACTTCCTGGCATGGGGAGCCCCAGCCTGCACCTCTCCTAAACTTAGCTCATTCCCTCAGCAGGCAAGGCTGCCTGGCCCACCCTTTGGCTGTGGGGTGACCGGCCCTTCTCAGGAGAGGGCTGAGAGCCATGGTGAGTGGACCAGAAGAGATATCCAGGTGACCCCTGGGGAAAGCCTGCACGGAATGTGCTGGAGAAACTGACCTTAGCTACGAGAAGCAAATTCCACGGTGATCATTCAGCCTGACCCTTGGTACAGGTGGCTCGTGTTTGTCAGACAGGAAACAGGGCAGCCGACCCAGCTATGTGCATGGGCTGAGGGACCATCAGACTATGGATTATGCAGTGTCCAGGTGAATCTGAAGACCAAGTGTTCTGAACACTCAGCTGTACTCGGCTGCTCCAGGGGAGCATCTGGAAAGCACAGCGCTTTAACACAAAGATCTGAAGAATAAGAGCTTCACTGCTTATACTTAATGCAGCGTGGGGTAGGGCGCACCCCCAGCGCCAGGAGTTATGGCTGAGTCTCCAGGAGCACTGTTCTCCAGCACCCTGGGGAGAGCTGGGCTAAGTCCTTCCTGAGATGCTGGGCCCTCCAGGCTGGCCGGGCCATGACCTGCAGGAAGACCCCTTCACTGGGAATGGCCTCGTTCTGCACACACTGACATCTGTGCTAGAAACCATGGAAACAACTCTAGGAGCGCGTCCTCCCTCGGGGAATAGTGCTGAAGGAGCCCGGGGCAGGGAGCTGCTTGAGGAGAAGGGGTCTCACTGCTGACACAACAAGACCACAGAGGCAGTAGAGCTGATGGGGACCCCACCCCTCGGGGCAAGCAGCATCCCTGGAGGAGGCCGAGCACCCATCACCAATCAAGGCATCCCTGTGGAGGGACAGGCCACAAAAAGTGAGGCTAGGAGGCGCAGGGCATGTGGGACTTCCATGGGCAGGGCCAGCGGGCCACGAACCTGCCTGGTGGCATGTAGTCAGCATGCTCCCCAGCCTGGGTGCTGTGTGCTCACGCATGGAAACAGGCCAGTTCCAGGATCTCATGAGCTTGCAGTTTGGCGTCCCTGGACAGATCTGCTGCATTTTCTCCTCTATGAGCCAGGCCAGACAGGTCGGCTTGCAGCAGGCCTGGGCTGCAGCCGCTCTCCACGGAGTCCTCAGCTCAGGGCTGGGCCCTGTACGCTCTACCCATTCTGGTTCCGACCCAGATTTTGGTTTTGTCATGTTTGCCTTCCTTTGCCGAGACAGTGCTTTTCAAATATCTGGCGTTTGGTGCAGCTGGATTAGTTCTGCGTGTTGCTGGAGTTCAGTGACGTTCTAGCAGTGCCGAGTGTGCTTGGATCAAATCCAGCCTCCCTCCACCCACCCCACGCCCCAGCTTCTAGGAATCGCTGTTCTGCGTTCAGGATAAGAAGGATGCAGCCTAGGTGTCCCAAGCAGATGAGTGAATGCGGAAAGCCGTGCGTGTGCACGCGTGTGTGCGTGTGTGTGTGTGCAGGCTGTGCAGTGTTAGTCATGAAGAACAGTGCACCCTGCTGTGGGAGCAGAAGGCTGGAGAACGTTCTGTGGAGTGCAGTGGGCCGGGGACCGACACCAGCACCGCACAGCGCTGCCTCCCGTCGGTGAAAGTGCCTTGTAAAAAGCCCGACTGTCCTGGGTGGAGCTAGGGAGAAGGGCCGTCATCCACAGGAAGCCGGCCCTGCAAGAGCTACCTGCCCCAACGGAACCCTGGACGAGAGCAGGGTCTGGCACCCAGCGCCGTCGTAGAGCAGGCACTTGCAGTGGGTGGGGCCCCAAGGGAGGTGACGGTGGAGGCGACCACCCTCGCACTGGGACGCTGCTCCTTCTGGGGACATTCCTTGATCCCGTCAGGAGCTCTGGGAAGCAAGTGATGTCACTCTTAGAGCTGTTATGAAAACTGTCATCATGTTGTAAGGAAGCAAGGACTGCCTTCCTGAGAGGTCCTGTGTGTCTTCTGTATTGTTTAAAGTCCTATTCCTGTACCACCCACGCTCTCAGAGGGCGAAGCTTCTATGTGCTGGACTCCGGGTGAGGGTGGCAGGGATGGCGACTGTCCTGATTTCTAATTGCATGTGAGTCATCAGGGTGTTGCACACACGTCCCTCGAAGCCAGCACCAGCAGGGAGCTCTGGGGTGGGGAATGTGGAAAACAAGCTGGGCTGCACACGGTGCATGCCTGCACTTGGGAGGCTGAGGCAGGGGGATCACAAGCTTGACTTGGGCAACTCAGTGAGACCCTGTCTCCAAATAATGAAAAGGGCTGGGATGCAGCTCAGTGGTGGTCTTTACCTAGCATGCAGAAGTCCTGGGTGCAATCCCCAGCACCACTAGTTAAAAAAACAGTTCGTTTAAAACCTGCTGCATTAGACTTACAGAACCGAATTCAGGAAAATAGTGCTGAACCAACTTTTCAGGAAGACATCTGCCTCGGTGTCCAGTGGGCGGCCTTTGCCTTCCCTTCACTCCCAGCACGTGGCAATAGTGATGTCACAAAGCAGACACACCAAGGGAGCCCACGCCACAGGAGCCGTGGCCAGGCCAAGCCCAGACACACACAGGACCCAGAGCACGGGTGTAAAACCTGTGGAAAGGAGACCTTCCACCACTGCAGGAAGTAGCTTAGGATTCTGCACCCCAGACAACAGAGGGCAGTGGGTGACCGGTAACCAGTGTGGGGCTCGTGGCTGGCACAGGGCACACTTGCCTTGCCTCCATGTGGAGACAGAGCCCCGGGCAGCTGCACGCCCCTCCCTGAACACCCAGCCCCCCGAGGCCCTTGGTTCTTCGTCCCCTCCCACGCAGTGCCCGAGGGCTATGCCCGTTACCCCACACAGCAGCACCGGCTCATGGCTCACAGGAAGGCGTCTGGAAACTCGCGCTTCCCCTTGTGGAGCGGGAGGAGCCTCTGGGCCCTGGGCCCTGGCAGGCTCCAACCTCCGCGTCTTCCTCTGTCCAGGCAGCCCTGGGGTGGCCAGAAAGTTCCCAGTCCCTGTCACTGGTGGTTGTGGGCGCAGCGCCCCTGGGTCCTCTCTGCAGCAAGGCTTCTTTGGCAGCTGCTCAGGCCCTGTCGCTGCACTCTGCTGAGCCAAGACACCCT